GACTTCATCTATAAGTAAAGACAAGGCTAAAAATTGTTTTAAGTTTTTGGTTTTTTTTTAAATAAGATGGGAGTAAGTAGAAAAAAGTTCAAGTATTTGATAACTAACTAACTAAATATATATATTTTTTCTTATCATTTTGATAGACAACCTTTGATTAAAGCACCAGAATTTAAAGTTTGAAAGTATAGAGATGAGTGTGCTGCACTCATCTCTATACTTTAATTTGTTTACAGTACATATGGATTTCTGAGACACAAGAAGGGTTCTCTCTCCATTTGTATAATGTTCTTTGTAGGACAAATATCTTCCTGTGTATATGTCTATGAAGATTCTCAGTCATCTAGGTCATGGTCAAGTTGTGCACATTTTGGCCAGGGAAGACAGATGGTTTGAGAGAGGGGTAAAAGAAGCCATTTTTGTCAACCTGGAAAAACCATCACTCAACAGGAGGAGGTGGACTCAGACACAACCTATCACCCACATACAAAGGACTTTTAGGAACAATACCCAAAAGATTCTCCTCAGTTTCACATACCAAAGAGGCAGGTGACCAAAACCGTTCTGATGAGGACCACAAAGACCCATCAGACTCTGAACGACTGTTTACACTTTCACAGTTGACCCCAAGGCCCCACCTAACAGGGAGGAGCTGAAGTAGCTTTATTCTTTGTCACACCCAGAGTATTTATTTGCTGTACTCCCCACCACCAGCTAGAACTGAAGAAGCCTCTTGGATTAGAGGTGAAACGTCTTCTTTCAGAAAATTCATGTCCAGTTGCCTAACAGAACTCTTTAAACTCCCTGTGTATATGTTTGTGTTGGTGTCAGTGGAATTGAAAGGAATGCTGATGGATATGATGCTGTTGGATGAATAGTAAAATAAGATGGTCTTTTTGGTTCTTACAATTGTAGATCTGACTCCAGAGAAGTCAATGCCTCACCAGCCATGAACCTCACCGCATGTCACTGGTATTGGCAGTGGTAGTGACATTAACATGATGTGAGGGGAGATCAGGAATGTGTTCTCTATAGTGTGGTATTCTCTATAGTGTGGTATGGACCCACACTCCAACAACAATGGAGTGTGGGTACTTCTTCTTTTTTTTCTTTTTTTTTTTTTGCAGATAGAAATTTTTTATTTAAAAGTATAGTCATACTGCCTGGCATGGATGTGACCAAATGAAATTCAACAGGCACAGTGTGGATGATCATTTTTCTTTGCTTCATGGCTCTTTTAAATGGATGCAGCAGACCTGAATATTACCTCTGGGACAGCTGGAGAGTCCATGGTGTCCTCGTCCTCCTCCTGTCCATTTCTTCCTTCCTTCTCGTCCTCCTCTTCCACTTTATCCTCCTCCAGTTCATTTGACAAATTGACCAGCTTGAGCCATTTTGCTCTCCTGCTACAGCATCATGATTGACATTCCAATTCCTGTGCCTTAACAGAACAGTAGTTAGTAGTTATTTTATTAATGTGTAGAGTATCAGAACATTTTACGTGTTCACGATCAATAACAATTATCACTATCATTATTCATAATTAATCATGATTATTTGAGATGCATCAACAAACCAAAATATATGTTGTGTTGTTGAGACAGACAGAAAAAACAACAGCAGGTGGATGTATGTAATTCACACCTGTTTTTATATGTGAGTAGTCCAAATGATGGAATGCATATTTTGATACATTTCGAAGTAATTCACAATGTACCTTTATGAGTTGGTGGATTGTAGTACATAATGTGAATATCTGATTGTGGCTTGTAAAACACTTTTAGACTTGCTTTTAAACATGGTGAGGGCCTTGTTCTCAACAATGTTTATTGGTGTACAGTTCCTCCGAATCTATCAGTAGACTTCTTACCACCCTGCCCTTAGTAAGGCTTCTCTTAGGTCTCTTAGGTGCATTGGTCAAACCAAACTTTTTTCCCACAGCATGTGTAAATAACAATAATATATAAACAGTATCAGGGCATGGATGGTGGAATTATCCATCTGCCATGTGTTGATATGCATTCAGATGTTCAAATTTTAATTAAAATGATTAAAATTAAAATGAATTACATGATTGCAGATCAGTTTTGTATCAGGTAACTATATAGCTGCCCTATTTCTCTTACTGTTTCACATTGTAAATGAGCAAAAAAAAACTATAGCAGATTACCTGTCCTTGTTTGTGCTTGTTCAGCCTTTAAAAGGGAAAAATAAAAAGCCAACACTAAGCACTGTAACACATCCACTGAAGCACAGCGCTCATCTTTGCCCTGCTGACTCTTTATGAGGCCGTATGGATATTGTAAACAGCAAATCAGTTGTTTCACTGTGCACTTTGTTTTGATCTGTGTACATAAACACATTTTCCCTCCATCTCCTCTCACAAACCTTCACTCTACTTTCATATTGTGTCCGCATCATGTTAGGGAGACAGAATAGTCACAATAGGTCCCTGTGTATCTGTATTTGGAGCAAATGGCCGAATGCATTAAACATTAACTTCACCAAGGCTGGCAGATTGCTTCATACTCAACATTGTTTATCCACATCAATATTCCCTCTACAAGCCTGTGTGCTGAGAATGAAACCTCTGTATTTCTATGGCCTTTCCTATTTAACTCAATCAGTTACTACTGTGTCATAGCTAGAGTTGAATGATACATCTCCTATGTAAACAGTTGCAGTTCCACTTTTGACAGACAGTAGAAGCTGTATCTGTGCTTTATATATGTTTATCATATATAAACAGACACATGACTTTTAATGTTTAGTCACTGACGGACTTGTTTTTGTAAATAAAAAAGCTGATTTAAAAAATGGACATTTGGAACATGTGCCACTGTCACATTAGTCTAGGTTTCTGCTCTTTTTCCTCAGTAAATAAAAATACATTTTTATTAGGAATTTATTTGACAGGTATAGGTATATTGGTATACTGACATTTCTGTACATGTCCAGTTATGGAAAATTAATATATCCCGTCAAGTGGGGACATTGTTTAATCATCAGCGTGTTTTTATTACTGTGTACATAGAAGTAACTTCTGTTGTCAAGCAAAGAATTAGCCACGCTGACAACTTGTGTAAGGTAAATAATTACTCAAAGTGTCATGGAATGAGCTCCCCTGTCGCCCTGCGTTACTGTTACACTGTTTATGCAGCTATTGGTTTCATTGTACCAGAGGGGACGGTCCTCTGGTACACTGATTGTTATGCTCCTTCTTTGTCTGTCTTTGTAGGGAGTTATTCTTCCTCTCCTCTCATTTATCTCCCCCTCTCACCCATCTATATTTACTGTATATTTGTGCCTTTATGTTTGATCATTTGTTCAGGTCTGTTGCGCTGCCATGTTATATTATCAACCAAACACTTCCTCTCCACCACTTCAAGCCCTGGTAATAGATATCTGAGAGACCCTCGGTCAGTGAGTGAGATCTCAAAAGATTCACTGCATTCATGTATGTGGTCACCACAGTGTATATAATGTATGTTCAGTTTATATGAGTAAATGTATATTTAACATTTTCAAGGTGGTAGATTACCATAGTCTGGTCATTTCAGTAGTAGTGTCCAAACAAAAAGTTTAGACATCTCTGGATCTAAATGGTATTGCTTTATAAAGAAAAAAACATCACCTAAAAATCAGACACACACTGTTGTTGTTTTCTTTGCCTCCATCTCCTGGTCTCACTGCCCTCCTTGTACTTTAATGTTGCTTTTTGCTGTTCTCTCTAATCTCCTATCAGTTCTGTGACTGATATTTTGAGATTAGCTGTTATGAAACTGTTTTATTTCTTCAGTCCCTGACAACAACAACAGTCATTCACAAATTCCACTTTTGACTGAGGTTGCCAGCTTTGCAGCTATTAGCTGTCTGCAGGATATTTTCTTTGCAGCTTTGCAAGATTACACTCTTACAAAGCTACTTGTTTGGCACAGGTTCCACAAATGAGAGTTAAACTCTCCCTGGAACTGAAATAGTTTGTGTTTACCACTGCAGTTGCACCTGTGATTGGTAGGTTTAGTTCAATGCAGGAGTTTAGAAATGGCTTAGAGTACACAATCTCCTTGTGATTTCTTTTATTTAATCCTATGCCTTGTTGGATTTTCTTTAACCTTTTGTTAAAACCTGACTCGTCACCAGACATGGGTTTCATTGAAAAGGACATTTAATTTTCATGCTTTTTGTATTATTTTATTTGAAATTACACCAAACTTATTTTGCTTAATGTGGTACACTAAGTTGCATTTTGGTATTCATGAGCTGTTTCCTTGTCTGGATGGAATTTTACGTTGGCCATATATTCTTATGATGGTCTTTAAACATCTTGGCTTGTGGCCAGTTAATATCCGGGTTGTTTTTGGCAAAAGACCAGTCATGGTCCTTGGCTTTGTTTGTGAGAAATCAAAGTAATTTATTTTCTTACGCTTCCTGGATTCTCCTCTCTGACTTTATAAAAGTGTTAGCCTTCCATTGTGAAATTCTGTATATAATCCTCCTAGTTATACATCAGAGTTTGTGTACATACTGTATGTTGAGAAAAGGTCACAGAAGTTTTTTAACACTGCAGAAAAAGGGTTTTGGTTTCACGGAAGCACTTCAAACTATAAATACCATCTTAAGTCATTAAGTTTTTTGTCATACTTAGGAATTTAAATTTTTCTGAGTTAATAATTTTTTTAAAAGTACAATCACCATGAATCATAAAAAATAATTATAAATCCACAGCCACTCTGATAAATCAGAATATTAATGCATTTTTTGACAGCCTTATTGTCATTAAAATGTGGATTGTACTACTTGATGCTGTTTCAAAAATTTAAATGTTTTGTTAGACTGCAAGATATACAGTAGCTACTAGTGATAAAACATCATGTGTGTCTGCTTCACTCTGAAGAAGTGGCCTTTGTTGTCTGTCATCCAAAAAAATTAATTGAAATGTGTCATTTCTGACTTGTGTTTTTGAATTTTTCTGAAGTGCAACATCTGCTGTGTTACAGAGTTGAGCTCAGAGAACCTACGCACCTGCTTTCAGATTGTTAACGCCTACATATACTTATCTGCCACAGAGTTCCTGCAGGTGAGAAACTCGCACACGCTGTCAAGAGATAGTGTCAAATATAAAAAGATGAAAAAACCACCAGC